TGAGGCAGGAGAATTGCCTGAACCCAGGAGGCGGAGGTCGCGGTGAGCCGAGATCGCGCCATTGCACTCCAGCCTGGGTAACAAGAGTGAAACTCCGTCTCAAAAAGAAAAAAAAAAAGAGTTGCCAATCAAGTTTAGGGTTAAATGTGAAAATATTTATGCTTGGGACCTAAATTACAGAGGGAGAATCTTATAGTTCAAACTGTCATCTTCTATGTCTTGTCTGAAGGTATCTAGAGATCAGGTTCTGGACAATGCTGCAATTCAATTCTGTGCCCGCAAAGTCTCTGCTGTTTCAGGAGATGTTCGAAAAGCGCTAGATGTTTGCAGGTGAGTTATGACACTTGGCTGCTTTTATTTAAAAAAAAAAAAGAAATGCTGTTAATTGTCTCGTGTAACTCAAGTGAATGTGGCTTAAGAGGCTCAGTTCTGCTACTTTTTTAGGCCCAGAAAGGAGGACTTGTTTCTCAGTAGGGAGCTGTGGATTTCCACCGTGTTAATGTCTAAAACATTATCAGTCCATTACCTACAGAGGGAGAAACAAATGAGATGTTGCTGGCACTCCCTGTGGTGATTATAGATTGGTTAATTACATTTGTATTAAAAAAGACTCCAGTTTACTTTTCCATTAGCTGATCTCAAGCAGGTTTATTTATGGACCTGAACCATCTTTGCCTTTAGACTTTTTCCCTCTTCCTTTCCTTTTGTCAGCACCCCTTCTTCCCTCCAGTTGGTGGTCCCCTAGAGTTGTACTCTAGACCTCTTTCTCCCTTCCCATCCCCCTGTCCCTCCTGCTGGGGAAAGCCTCTGTGCTGACTGATGAAATTTCTTCCTTCCCAGTAGGGACACTGGGTCCATTAAAATGATACTTGCTGTGCTGGCCTGCTGGTCCAACCTCCCCCTATTGCCATGCAGAAGATCCAGGTCTGGCTTATGGCTTCCTGTGGGCAAAGTACTTTGGAGAGAGCAGTGGGAGAGTCAGCTCTTCCTGTTGCTAGATTGCATGATCCTGAATTTAAAAGTTTCCTCTAATCAGCAAACTACTTGGGTTAAGACTGCAACTATGAGCAATAGTCATGTAGGCTAGCGCGGTTTAGCCTACACATATCCTATGTATATATAACGGAAGATATCCCTTTTAGGTTTTGTGTGTATGGGTGGTGTTGGCTCCCTTTAGTCAGTCACCCACACTACATATCCTCTCCTACCATGACATTTCTCCTCACCCAAAATGTTATCATTGGCTTAATGTATGATGACCTACTTGGCATCTATTAGGAGGAAACCATGGAAGTTTCTCAAATCTGACATCCATGAATTATTTCAAAGCAATTAAGTCCCCTTATCTGAGAAATAAATCTGTAATTTTAAAGTCCCAGTTTTATTTTGGGACTTTAAAATTACAAAACATCGTAATTTTAAAGTTATACATAGGATATATGTAGGCTAAACCATTTAGCCTACATGACTGTTGCTCATAGTTGCAGTCTTTGAGCAATAGTCATTAATGTGCCTGCTTTTGAGATTGGTGGTTTGGTATGGTGTTTGCTTTGGCTTAGACTAAATTAATTCAAAAAAATTTTTTTTTTATAGGAGAGCTGTTGAAATTGTAGAGTCAGATGTCAAAAGCCAGACTATTCTCAAACCACTGTCTGAATGTAAGTAGTTTATCTCCTTCCTATCTTCCTTTGTAATTAGAAGCTTAGCTTTTCTGAGGAAAGAGGTAGAAAGATGAATGAACATAGTTAAATCCAAACTCACCCATTTTTATGTGTGTCTTTTTTAGTCAGTTTCATCTACTTTATTTCAATCTTGCCTGCCAGTACTATAGTTCATGCATTACTGGAAATGAGTTCCCGAGGTGTTGCGTAAATGGCTAGGACAGAGTGAGTTTTCTTTTTAAGCTCTAGAAATGAAAATTGTAGACAATGAGTTTGGATCAGCTCTCTGGGTGCTTATGTTGAGTGCACTTTAGGTCTCAATATAGGTGAAAGCAAAGCCTGATAAATAATGGAGAATTGGGTAAAAGAACTGCGAGGCCCCATGCAGTGGTTCACACCTGTAATACCAGGACTTTGGGAGGCCAAGGCGGGAGGATCGCTTGATACCAGCCTGGGCAATGTAGTGAGGACTCGTTTCTACAAAAAAAATTTTTTTTTAAATTTTGCAGCCATAAAAAATGAGTTGGCTGGGTGCGGTGGCTCATGCCTGTAATCCTAGCACTTGAAGGCTGAGGAGGGCGGATCAGTTTAGACCATCCTGACCAACGTAGATAAACCCCGTCTCTAAAAATACAAAAATTACCTGGGCATGGTGTCCCGCGCCTGTAATCTCAGCTGCTCAGGAGGCTGAGGTAGGAGAATTGCTTGAACCTGGGAGGCAGAGGTTGCAGTGAGCTGAGATCATGCCACTGCACTCCATTCTGGGTGACAGAGCGAGACTCTGTCTCAAAGGAAAAAAAAAATGAGTTCATGTCCTTTGTAGGGACATGAATGAAGCTGGAAACAATCATTCTCAGCAAACTAACACAAGAACAAAACCAAACACTGCATGTTCTCACTCGTAAGTGGGTGTTGAACAATGAGAACACATGGACACAGGGAGGGGGACATCACACACTGGGGCCTGCTGGGGGTGGGGCCCAAAGGAAGGGAGAACATGCAGGACTTAAAAACCTAGATGATGGGTTGATTAGTGCAGCAAGCCATCATGGCACATGTATACGTATTTTACAAACCTGCATGTTCTGTACATGTATCCCAGGGTTTAAAGTAAAAAAAAATTAATTAGCCAAGCATGGTGTGCACCTGTAGTCATAGCTACTTGGGAGGCTGAGACAGGAGAATCGCTTGAGCTGGGGAGGCGGAGTTTGCAGTGAGCTGAGATCGTACCACTGCACTCCCAGCCTGGGCAACAGAGTGAGACTCTGTCTCAAAAAATAATAAGAAGAAGAAGAATTATAAGTTCAACTTGGGATATCTCAAGCATTTATTTATTTATTTATCTCTCTCAAGCATTTAAACAAGTCTAGAGGGTAGAGGTAAAAATATCATATTGCTACAGTAAGCTACACACTATCACAAATGACAAAATTAATTTTCCATTCCCTCAGCCTTGATTTGGTTGTGGCAAATGTAAATGGCCATGAACTACATATCTTACAGTATTTGATATCCAGTGGTAGTCTTTATAAACAGAATAGTAAGATTTGATTGTTTCTTTTTGACTCCTGCACTGGTTGGGAGTTAGTAAAATTGTTTCTGGCATTATAGTTTTGCATGAAGTTCTTTTTTTCATCAATTTGCTAAAATAAAAAAACTAAAAATAATTTCAGAAGTAGCCAAGATTAGTGCTTAGGCTAATAGTAGGCAATATGTATAGATTTAGATACTGGTTTCTTCCTCCTCTTCAATTTTTCAGATTATTCCCTTTTCCCCTCCTTTTTCCCCACCAGTAACATTTAGGCTTGTCACTGGCCCCCGTGAGCACCACTAGCACGAATATAACTAAAAAAGGTAAAGAGGTTGTAAGTTCTATCTTTTGATTTCTGGATTGTGTGGGATTGGCTTTTTTTTTTCTTTTTTTTTCTTTTTTCTTTTTGTGTGAGACAAGGTCTTGCTCTGTCTCTCACGCTGGAGTCCAGTGATGCGATTATGGCTGGTGCAATCATGGCTAACTACAGTTGCAACCTCCCGGGCCCAAGCAATCCTCTTCTCACCTCAGCCTCCCCAGTTCCAGCTATTGCTAATTTTAAAATTTTTGTAGAGTCATTGGGTGAGGGACTCTCATGTTGCCCAGGTTGGTCTCAAACTCCTGGGATGAAGTGATTCTCCCGCCTTGGTCTCCTACAGCATTGGAATTACAGGCGTGAGCCACCACACACCAAGGTTGAGATTGGCTTTTAATGGTTCCAGAAAGCTATAGGGAGATTGACTTCAACTAAATATAAGAAGAAAATTTCTAATAACTAGAACTAACTGGGCTTCCTGGAAACATAGTGGGTTCTCGAGCATTGAAGATATTCAGACAAAAGTTGGATAGATGCCACTTGTTGAGATTGTTTTAGAGAGGACTCAGCCATTGGGTAGGGAGTAAAAATAGACTTCGAAATTCCTTTGAGCTTTAAGATTCTCTTACTTGATCTGTGATCTCTGGTTTCTCCATTAGTCCTCTGCAGCATCCCTCTGTGGTAATGAAATATTATAGAAGGAAATTGTTATGGGGCAACTGCAAGTGATTCAGGTGGTAACTGCAGGCAAAAGTTGTTACAGAGCACCTCTCTCTGTCTTGCAATTCATGCATCTCCAAACAATGAGACCATAGTTTTTTTTTTTTGAGACAGGGTCTCACTCTGTCACCCAGGCTAGAGTGCAGTGGTGTGGTCTCAGCTCAATGAAACCTCCTCCTCCCAGGTTCAAGCCATCCTCCCACCCCAGCCTCCTGAGTAGCTGGGACCACAGGCGCATATCACTATGCCCTGCAATTTTTTTGTATTTTTAGTAGAGGTGGGGTTTCACCTTGTTGCCCAAGCTGGTCATCAATCCCTGAGCTCAAGCCATTTGTTATTTTTCCTGATCCTCTCCCTCCTCCCACCCTCCACTCTCGTATAGGCCCCAGTGTGTGTTATCCCTTCTAGGTGTCCATGTGTTCTCATCATTTAGTTGCCACTTAGAAGTGAGAACATGCGGTATTTGGTTTTCTGTTCCTACAGTAGTTTGCTAAGGATATAGTCTTATGCAGCTTATTGGCAGTTTCCCAACCCCTGGCTTTTATTAAGATGATGATATCTGGCTAGGCATGGTGGCTCACTCCCATAATCCCAGCGCTTTGAGAGGCCAAGGAGGGCAGATTGCTTGAGCTTAGGAGTTCAAGACCAGCCTTGGCAACATGATGAAACCCCATCTCTACAAAAATTAACAAAAAAAAGATGGTGCTATCTACAGCATACCCAGTGACATTTTCTCAAGTGTTGGCTGTACTGCTGATCAGCTTGGGCAAGTGAACTAAACCTCAAAGGTCATTTGGGGAGGCCATCTGAAGGACTGATATGGCAGTGACTTTACTCTCCACATTTAGCCACACATTTGATCGAAAATATTAGGTAATTTTCCAACTTTTTTTTCTTTTTTGTTTTTCTTTTCTTTCTTTTTTTTTTTTTTTTTTTTTTTCAGAGCTTTGCTCTTGTCGCCTAGGCTGGAGTGCAGTGGCATGATCTCTGCTCACTGCAACCTCTGCTTCCCAGGTTCAAGTGATTCTCCTGTCTCAGCCTCCTGAATAGCTGGGATTACAGGTCCCTGCCACCACGCCCGGCTAATTTTTTGTATTTTTAGTAGAGATGGGGTTTCATCATGTTAGGCAGGCTGATCTTGAACTCCTGACCTCAGGTGATGTGCCCACCTTGGCCTCCCAAAGTGCTGGGATTACAGGCATGAGCCACCATGCCTGGCCTTTTTTTCCTTTCTTAATTACTAGGCACAGTCACCATCTTTGCTTCAAGGTTCTGTTCTTCTTATACCTCTCAGATACTAGGAACTAGCCTGCTGTGGTGGCATGCACCTGTAGTTCTAGCTACTCAGGAGGCTGAGACAGGAGGATCACTTGAGCCCAGGAAGTCAAGGCAGCAGTGAGCCATGCTAGTGCCACTGCACTGCAGCCTGAGCAAGAGATCTTATTCCCCACGCCCCTAAAAAAAGGAATACAGTCGTTCTCTGTCTGGTCGTTTCATGAGGTAGGTTTTGTCCCTCTGATGTTAAATTACATTCCATAGAACAAAATAGCTCACTATTTGGCCCAGAGAAAGGGTAACCCTAATTTTCAAGTCATCTACATTATTTTGACATCTTTAAGAGAATAGCATTATCTCTCATCCTTTGGCCTCTGGTTAGAGAGTTGGAACCTCTGCTTTGCCACCATGTGACTGTACTTGAAATTCCTTTAGCTCAAACTTAGTATCATTTGTTTCATCATGCATACACACACACACACAATATTTTAGAAATTGAATTAAGCTTGACTTACTTACTTTATAGGTAGATCACCTTCTGAGCCTTTGATTCCCAAGAGGGTTGGTCTTATTCATATATCCCAAGTCATTTCAGAAGTTGATGGTAACAGGATGACCTTGAGCCAAGAAGGAGCACACGATTCCTTCCCTCTTCAGCAGAAGATCTTGGTCTGCTCTTTGATGCTCTTGATCAAGCAGTTGAAAATCAAAGAGGTCACTCTGGGGAAGGTAAGTTGGGATGGAGCAGATGGAGCAGAGGTAGAGATGAGAATCTGCTTTGCAGAGCAGGTATTTTCCAAAAGGCCTATGATACTTCAGCTGATAGGAATTTAAAATGGATTTTAACAGTAAGAATTAATACTGGTAATGGCCAGGTACGGTGACTCATGCCTATAATCCTTGCACTTTGGGAGGCCGAGGAGGGTGGATTACCTGAGCTCAGGAGTTCAAGACCAGCTTGGGGAACATGGTGAAACCCCTGTCTCTAGTAAAAATACAAAAAATTAGCCGGGCGTGGTGGTATGCCCCTGTAACCCCGGCTACTAGGGAAGCTGATACAGGAAAATTGCTTGAACCCAGGAGATGGAAGTTGCAGTGAGCTGAGATCACGCCATTGCAATCCAGCCTGGGCAACAGAGCAAGACTCCGTCTAAAAAAAAAAAAATTAATACTGGGGCTATGTAAAAGGCACCTATTTTCCTTGGGTTGTGGTTGAGAGTTTACCATTAATCTTTCCCCATGCTCCCCTTCATTTCTGCATCTCTCTATGAAATATATAAAGCCCCTTTCCTACATTACTGTATAGTCTTTTGGGAATATCTACAGAATGACTGTTTAAGGATTTTATTGAAAAGAGGAGAAATAGGGTATTCAGATAAGTTTTTTGCTAACTCAGACTCACGTTTCTTAAATGATTAAAGGCTATAAGCAATGTGACTTTTAAGCAGCATTTGTTCTCCCTTGTTTCCTCCCAGTTATATGAAGCCTATAGTAAAGTCTGTCGCAAACAGCAGGTGGCGGCTGTGGACCAGTCAGAGTGTTTGTCACTTTCAGGGCTTTTGGAGGCCAGGGGCATTTTAGGATTAAAGAAAAACAAGGAAACCCGCTTGACAAAGGTACAACTGCTTTTTTGTGACAGTGTTTTTAATTGTCCTATTTTGTAGAGTGATGCTAAAGTCAAGGTTTACTGTTACACAAGTTGACCACAGTTAAACAAGTCAACAAGTCAGAGTTAAACCTTGTTAGCTAAGGTTTAAGGTGTGTAAAGATGGGAGTGTAGTATGAATATTTTTTCAGCCTATTGGAAAAAAAGTGTTTAACTTTCTTGCCTCTTGTGAGAAAAGTTTAATATGGTAGAAGTTTCTGTACTGATAACTTTGCTTTTGTGAGTTCTCCAGCATGAAAAATCCTTTTCTCTTTTTTCCAGGTGTCTTTCAAGATTGAAGAGAAGGAAATAGAGCATGCTCTGAAAGATAAAGCTTTAATTGGAAATATCTTAGCTACTGGATTGCCTTAAATTCTTCTCTTACACCCCACCCGAAAGTATTTATCTGGCATTTAGAGAGCTACAGTCTTCATTTTAGTGCTTTACACATTCAGGTCTGAAAACAAATATGACCTTTTTTACTTGAAACCAATGGATTTTAATCTATAGATTCTTTAATATTAGCACAGAATAATATCTTTAGGTCTTATTATTTTTACCTATACAAGTGATCAGGTAGATCCTTTTTAATTACATTTACTACTTCTACCACTGTGTATCTCTAGCCACTGTGCTTACAAGTGTACAGATCTGAAATGTGTCTATATTTACCTCTTTGTTTGCTCAAATATGACTGTGTTTTTGTTTTTGTTTTTTTGAGACCGAGTCTCGCCCTGTTGCCCAGGCTGGAGCACAGTGGCGCGATCTTGGCTCACTTCAGCGTTCACTTCCTGAGATCAAGCGATTCTCTTGCCTCAGCCTCCCGAGTAGCTGGCATTACAGATGGGCACCACCACATCCGACTAATTTTTGTATTTTTAGTAGAGATGGGGTTTTACCATGTTGGCCAGGCTGGTCTTAAACACCTGACCCTCAAGTGATCTGTCCACCTCGGCCTCCCAGAATGCTAGGATTACAGGTGTGAACCACCACCCCCAGCCATGAGTGTATTTTGTTCAGAACTTTGAGGTTAGGGTAAGAAGAATGTAAAAGAATGATCCAGGAAAATTAAGCAAGTCCACGTGGAGATTTGGAGGACACTGGTTAAAGAATTTATTTATTTTTAGAGTATACTATGTTCACAGCACAGATACTACAACATTGTGACATTTTAAAGGCTCTTTGAGTTTCTTGGGCACCTCCAAGGGCGCTGGGGTTGTAAGGAGGCTGTAACTACAGATTGTGAATATATTTATTTTCAAATTGTATTCTTTGTCTTTTTAAGCAATTAGATTTCAAGAGTGCTCATGCTTTCAAAAGTAAATGAAAATTTCTTCCTAGACTGTCCCACAGTCTTTGCGGTCCTTAGATGAAACCACTTGTTTCAAGATGCCTTAGTTTGGGGTTGGGTTTTCATCTAAACACATTTGTTTCCAGTCTTAGATAAATTAGTCCATATGGTTGGTTAATCAAGAGTCTTCTGGGTTTGGTTTGGTGCCATTAAATGGCAATTTGTGACTGAGACACCAGAGGGCACCATTATAACATTGACTGCTTTGAAAGTGGTTGCTTGGGGCTGAGGTAGTTTTGGGGGAAAGAGGGAAGTTCTCATTTAATTTGTTTGGGAGATTGCTGTACTTTTATAACTTAAGCAAATGCCTGAAATGTAAACCATGTATGATATGAATGAGCTGAGAGCCAGTGACCCTGAGCTCCCCTGCTGCTGCCTCTACCTTTCTGACATGGCCTTCCATCTGGGAATTTGATACATGTACAAATGATCTGTTGGCCACTGTTTCATTCATCCTGCCCACTGTAACCTTGTAATGTGATCTGAGCTCCAACAGGTGGTATGGTATAGAGGCAGGGAAAGCAGAGAGAGCTCTCTGAAATGAACACTACCCACTGGTGTGTGTAGCACAAGATAGTCTGTAGGCATGAGTCTGAATGTGGTTCTCACCCTCACACTTGTTTACTAGAACATTCATTCCCTCTGAAGGTAGTTTGCACATGGGAAACACAGTTCTATACCTAGAAGGTTGGAAAGTGTCTGGGACTATAAGGGTTAACAGTCATAATTGCAAAGATTGTCCGAAGGCTGATGGAAAGCAGAGACTGAATGGGATTGAGAACAGATGCGAAGCTTGATTTAAATTACATTTTATTGGATGCTGCAGCCTTAAGAGACGTGACTGCTTTACAGTTTGTTTCCACACTGTGGGCAGCTGCTGTCTGTTCTGTGTCCACAGTAGGCTCTTGCCCAATAAGGAGCAGCCTCCCCACCTCGTTGTGTTTGAGGCTTGGCGCCTTCCTCTTAACTGTAGGGCTTGAGTCAGGAACATGGCTTGACTCGCAGTGGGGCTGCTATGTATCCTCCCTGGCTTCCAGCCAAAATTGCATTGGTAGGTTCAAAGGGGCCAAATTTCTTTCCCCTCTACCTCCTTTCTCTCCCTTTCTCCTGGTATTTGGAAATAGGGTTTTCTGTCTACTGATTTGTTAGTTTCCTTTTCTTTATTTCTCTCCCCACTGTCAATTTCTAGGTCATTGCTGCTCTTAAGACTTTAGCAATTGGAACAGGGTTGGTTCTGTCAATGATGGGTGAAGCAGACTTCGTGTCCCTGCTTGGCTTCCGCTGCCCTGTTGGGAGCAAAAGCTGATATATGTTTGTCAGTAAAGTCTTAAGTGTAATTCAGACCTCTGAGGAAGAAAGCTCTTTCCTTGCTGGCTTTTCTCACTGAAGCTGAGAGCTACAGGAAGGTTTTAGTGGGATGGGATGGGCTTGTGGTTAGCACTTTTTGCCAGGATCTTAGGCTGCTTCACTTAGAGTAGTGGCAAAGATGCTGACCTACATTCTTCCTTTTGACGGTGGTGGAGTGTGTGCTATATCCTGGTTAATCTCTTCCCCCACCCCAAGGAAGCTGATTAAGCGTCCATAGAGTGTTGGGTATTGCCATGGAAAGAGCATAGACAAAATAAATTGGTGTGTGTTTCAACCCCAGAGCTGCCAGACATTTCTGGCTCAATGAAGACTTGCCTGTGGCTAGCTAACTGCAAGAATGTGTGAGGTCCAGTCTGGGTGTGGTGGCTCACGCCTGTAATCCCAGCACTTTGGGAGATGGAGGCAGGCGGATCACCTGAGGTCAGGAGTTTGAGACCAGCCTAGCCAACATGGCAAAACCTTGTCTCTACTAAAATAAATTAGCCAGGCATGGTAGCATGCACCTGTAATCCTGGCTACTGGGAGGCTGAGGCAGGAGAATCACTTGAACCTTGGAGGCGGAGGTTGCTGTGAGCTGAGATTGCACCATTGCACTACAGCCTGAGCAACAGAGAAGACTCTCGTCTCAAAAAAAATATATATGCCAGGTGCCCTGGCTTATACCTGTAATCCCAGCACTTTGGGGGGCCAAGGCGGGCGGATCACTTGAGGGCTGGGAGTTCAAGACCAGCCTGGCCAACATGGCGAAACACCATCTCTACTAAAAGTAGAAAAACTCTCTGGGTGCCATAGTACACGCCATAATCACAGCTACTCTGGAGGCTGGGGCAGGAGAATTGCTTGAGTCTGGGAGGTGGAGGTTGTAGTGAGATGAGATCATGGCACTGTACTCCAGAATGGGTGACAGAATGAGACTGTCTCAAAAAAGCAAAATGTGTGAGGTCCAAGCTACTCAGAGATTAAAAAGTTGGCAGAGCCTTGTTCTTTCTGTGCCCCCCACTACCACCAAGTCACATTGCTCCTTACCTTTAAGTGTCCCTTTGAATATACACCAAGCTAGGTGTGGTGGCTCATGCCTGTAATGCCAACACTTTGGGAGGAGGTGACAGCAGGAGGATTATTTCAAGTCAGGAGTTTGAGACCAGCTTGGGCAACATAGTGAGAACCTTTCACCTGGCTTCTCTACCAAAAAAATCTTAAAAGTTAGTTGGGCATAGTGGTATGCACCTGTAGTCCCAGCTACTCAGGAAGCTGATGTGGGAGGATGCTTTGAGCCCAGGAGTTCAACTCAGCATGGGCTGTAATCATACCACTGCATTACAGCCTGGGTGACAGTGAGACCCTGTCTCTAAGAAGAAAAAGCAGACACACCAATAAGAATGAGAAGTTGGGAATAATATGTGACGTAGGTTATATTTTTTAAAAAATATCTTGAGAGGTGTTACCTTGACTGCTGAGGGAGAACAAAAGAGAGCCAATATTGAAATTTTACTTACATTTGTATCTGTCCCTAGCAATTAGTATAGTGCCTAATACCTGGTACGTACTCAACAGTTGTTGAACAGATAATGAACCCAGTAAGATGCTGCTGTTCCCTCCATGGTAAGGACAGTTCTAAGCTGAAGTTAAAAGTTGGTGGTTCTTTTGCACAGAGGTGGAGCAGGCCCCTGCATAAGAAGGGTGCTGTGTCTTACCAAATGTGTCTTGGCACAGTTTTGGAGCATTTGTTAGCCTCACAGATGCATTCCAGTTGTTCCCTCTGATGTAGTGGCATTTTGCTTGAGACACCTTCCATGTTGCTGATGGGGCGCTTTGGCTATGAGGGGAGGGCCTTATTGACAGGCTGCTTGTCTGGATGTTACTTGGTGTGGGTAGATAGGCCAGAAACTGGGTCTCTAGGCAAGGGTTTAGGGAGGAGCCCACCTTTGATGTCCTACTTTTTAACTTAGGGAAAGTTGTGATCTCAGGGTCCTGAAAAGATAAGGCACCTTCTTTTAAGCTACAAACAGTGTAGGTCTTCCTCTTAAAAGAGGTGTGTTCTGTAAGGGGAGAAGGTGTGCCCTCTGGCCTCCCCTTGATTTTCAGCTCCATCCCCAAGGCACTGGCAGTGGAAGTTAATTGGGTGCAAGGGGCTTGGGTAAAGGCTGAAGACTGGCGAAAGGAGAGAGCCAGCTTCGTTTTTTAAAAAGCTCTAATTGAGTTCTGAATCAGCCTCACTCCCTTTGATCCCTCCTCTGTTTCCCACACTGCCTGAAAGAGCTAGATCAGCACTTTATAACAAGGGTGCGCCTGCTCCCTGCACCGCCCCCCTCTCCTGACGCTCTCTGCTGCCGCCATCCACTGCTTGTCTCCTTCAGTTAAGATAATGAAGATGCTGAGAGATAAAATGTGTATTTAATAAGGGTGGGGGTAGGGAGGCGGAAAGGGGCAACCAGGGCCTTCCCTAGTTTGGGGCCTCGCCAAGACTTAAGCTGAAAGCAAAGCTAGAATAAGACTTGGCCCCAGGGTGTGGGGGTTTCTGGGCCTCAATCCAGCTGACTTCACTGCCTGCTGTTTGCCCTAAATTCCCCCACCTCCACCCTCTCAACCCCACACTGCTTTCTTCTTGCTCCCAATGGGAAAAAGGACTCTTGCTTCGACTTTCTTTTCAGCTGGTAACTTGGCCTTTAGTGCGGTGCCCCCCACCCCAGTGTCAGCTGCAAGGTCGAGCTAGGGCAGCCCCCTCTAGCCTAGGCCTGTAGAAGCTGTGGGTTCACAGTGGGGAGTGAAAAAGCTGGAGTTAATGAAGACCAGCTGCTAGTCTGGATTCTGCCTGCAGCTAGCTGGAGGCCAGCCTTTGGTGGTGGTTGATGGGGGGTGGGGTGACCTCCATCCATGGGCACAACGATATCCTGTGGCAGCAGCTAGGCTTGTGCTTCTCTGAGCTTAGTTTTATCCTTAGTTTGTAAGAGAGTAGTCTGTTTCCTTCTCCCTACTCCTCTTCCCAAATAACACTCAGCTCTTATTGAACTTTATAACTGTAGTGGTGGCCCAGCTGAGATCTGAGGATCTCCAAGCCCTTTTGTAAACACTCATTAACTGCCTGGGAAGAACGAAGAGCCCTGTTTAACAGCTGGGAGAGAACTGAGGCACATTAGGGTGAAAGGCTTGACCTAAACTCACCCCATGGACTCCACCCTGGGGCCTTCCATCCTTACTGCCCAGCTCCTTTTCTGAGTTCCTCCTGGAAGACAAAAATGGTGTGGAGGCATTGCTGATGTCTTCTAGGGAGAGGCCATGCCCTCTCCTCTCAAGTCTGTCCCTGACTTCCTCTGGCCCTTATGACATTTTCCCTGATCTGCTGCTAGAGATATGTGCAACTCTCCTTGAAAAATGTTCTCAGTCCACAACTTCAGAATTCTTATCCGTCTTTCTCTTGCTCATCTAGCCCGCCAAACCTGAATTCTCTCTTTGAGCTACTAAGAAGATTGGCTATACTAAACTGAAACAGTGACCTTGAAGTTGATCTATTGTTTTGAGGTCCCTCTGCCCTATATTTATCCAGAATGGTACGTAGGAAAGTATTCTCTCTTTAACTTGTTTATTTTGGTCATAAAGATTCGGACCTTATTGAGGGCTGGGTAGAGGCCCTACTTGACCTCTAGGTTCTGCATCCTCTTCTTCCACTGACAATTACCATTTCCAGTAATAGATATAGCCCAAGGTCCTTTTTTGTTTTTTCTTCTTCTCTAACCCCACCTGCTTTTACTTTTGCCTATATATTTGCAGACCCCACACACACCCAGATACACACACATTGGTCCTACCTGTTTCCAGCTGCCATCTAAGTTAGCCTGCACTTTTTACAGGCTGAAAATCTGTTTTTTTCTCGCTGGATGGATGGCCTGCCTCCTAGGCACTTGACAATAAGTAGGAGGGATGAAGAGACTTCTGCAGTCCACAAGGAAGAGGACAGAAGTGAGCATCCAACCAAAAGGAATGCTCCCTTCCCCAAATTTCTAGCATTTAGCCTCAGCGGGAGTGGCAGGGAAAGAGATCTTAACCCCACCTCTAGCACCAAAACCTAAGTCCATCTGCTGAGGGCAGGCAGGAAGAAATGTCTCTTTTCTCCTGTTTTATGTCATCCTATCCTTGTTATCCATGTGCTGTGTATTTGAGACTGGGAACTGTTCCTGTCCCCAGCGGGTGATCAGACCCCCATCTTTGTTCCAGTGCGTTATTTCTCCCCCATCAGTCCTCCACTCTGCGCCGGCTGACCCAGTCAGGGCTGGTGTAAGAGGGCGGGGAGAGCCTTCTGTTCGGCGAGTGGGCTTTAGGACCCAACGGGAACCCGTGCCTCTTGCAGCAGCCTAACCCAGAAGCAGGGGGGAATCCTGAATCGAGCTGAGAGGGCTTTCCCGGTTCTCCTGGGAACCCCATCGCCCCCCTGCCAGCACACACCTGACCAGGTAGGACCATGCACACCCCTTCCCAATTCTTCCTTGGCCGCCTTTGACTCTGGCCTCTGCTTCTGATCTAGCCGTTTCCCTCTTGCCAGTTCTGGCTTTCCCCGTCCCTCCTCTCCTGTCACTCACCGTAGTCCTGGGAGGTGGGAGCCTCGGAACAGTAGGGTGTCTGAAAGCTCAGAGCCCCCTGCACCCTCCAGCGCCTTTCTCACATTTCTCCTGAGGCAGTTCTCGTTCTCTAGCTAAGAGTGGGGAGTAGGGGGAAGGTCTGCCCAGGCCCACGCCCTTGCACCCTCCTTTGCAGTATTGCCTAATACCCCTTCCCCCACCTCACCTAGACTGGAGAATTGGCAAGTGCTGGGGTAACAGAGAGAGGAGAGAGCCAGAGAGGGACCTGAGCTTTCCCGAGGGATTTCTTTCTTGCTTCCTAGCCCAAAGAGCTCAGGACTTTGCCCCCCACTCCCTACTCACCTTGTAGGGGAACTAATATCCCCTTCCAGGTTCATCTCACATTTGGGTGGCCAGGGGCTTTGCAGGAAGGTAGTGGAGGTTGTGAGCATTTTGGTGACCTTTTCCTCTGGGAAAGTTCTTTCAGCTTAGAGCCCCCATCCCTGTCAACATCTCAACACCTACTGCAGAAGCCCCCCCCCCCAACACCCCTGTGTGTGTGTGTGTGTGTGTTGACAATGTGGTTGTAAGATCTAGAAGCTTTGGATAGAGGTGGCTCCAGGCATTGAAAGGGAGGGATACCAGAGTGTGGCCCAGGCTAGAACAGGCTCAGTCCAGATGGCTAGGGAAGGGGGTGTGGACCAGATTGAGGAGGTCACCCAGCCT